ATTAAGAAAAAGGGAATTTCGCATAATCAAAGAAAGATTATCGAATTAGAGAAATTTATGTTACTACAGTAACAGTAATATATTAATTTTCTTTTTAGGCAAATATTAATAATTACTCTATTTTTTTCAGATAATACTATTAATTAATAAAAATACACTTAATAATTTAGAAGAACAAGAATTTTATGAGAAAGTAAATATTATTTTGCACATAAATATAAAGAATAAAAATGAATAAATATTGTTAGTTTTGGTGCAGTAAGTTACTACACCAATAGTTTTTGGTTATTTTTTGTAATCTTGATTATTCTGAAATTATTAATGTAAATGCTATAACTAGATCTATTAGTTTTTTTAATCATCAAAAATAGAAATTATATAATAGATCAGGAAGATCATATAATACATATTGATAAATAAAAAGTAAAAATTCATTTTTATTACCAGAATAAAAATAATAAAGATCTAACATAGTTCCATTTTTTTTACTGGATAAAAAATGGAACTATGTTGGATCTTTTAAAAATTGTTTAAAATGAATTTTTGCTAAAGTAAAACCAGATTTTTTATATAAATCCATTTTTTATTCAGTAAAAAAAATGGAAATATATCAGATCTTTTAAAAACTGTTTTTACTCTGGCAATAAAAATGAATTTTTGCTGAAGTAAAACCAGATTTTTTGTATAGATCCATTTTTTATCCAGTAAAAAAAATGAAAGTATATTGGATCTTTTAAAAACTGTTTTTATTATGGTAATAAAAACAGATTTTTGCTAAAGTAAAACTGGGTTTTTTGTATAGATCCATTGTTTATCCAGAAAATATTCTGGATAAAAAATGGATCTATACAAAAACTGAATTTTTGCCTGATATGTTTGAAAATTTTTTTATAGGGTCTTTTTTGACTATTCATCTCATCTAAATTACTCTAAGACCCACTTCTTAATTTCTTCATTGGTTCTTGTATAGCCAACTAAAATGTAAAGTATTTGATTTATTGTCTGTCTCAGAGCAAAAGAAATCATCTTCAATGTCATGTGGAAAGTATTAATCATACCAATGCATGTGATAAGTGGCGTCCTCAATTTCGTCCAATCAGAGGTGGGATTACCTGCGACAAATAGGAAACCTGAGTGAAAATTAGTAAATGCGTAAAAATATAGTGTCTGTAAATTCAGGTGCTACCATGGACCTTCAAATTTGCGTATTGACGGTTTTATTGACAAAAATAAATATGAATTGAACGTTTATTATTTTAATAATATGGAATTACAATGCAAATATATTTGGTTTAAAAAATAAAAAAGATGCACATTTAAATTTGATTTAGCAGACGTACGATATTGCATATCAATGATTATTTTAGGAACCAATAAATTAAATATATCAAATCGGATAGCTAGAATGGGGGTCCGCTATATCGTCTCGAATGTGTGTACTATACTATGAAAAAAACTTTTGTAATATTTATAATTTTAAAAATGTGAAATCGATAATTGAGATTAAAAAAAAAGTGTTGTCGCTTGTGATGCGAAGAAGAATAGGCCTGTTATTGAAATATGAGGAATGTGATTTTTCTTTCGTAACTACTTTAATTTTGGAAATATGGTATTGCGGTGAAAAAAAGGTACAGTAATTTCATAACTTTATAGATGACTATTAAACCATTAAAAATTAAGATTTTTCTACTGTATTTATACGCAAGGGTAGAAGTCCGAAATTTTTGCTGATTATTGAATAATTAATTCAGGTTCACTAGTAAAAAAATTTTCCGGTTCCGTAGAATATCCAGTGCCCAAAATTGGCATTATAATATATGATCCGACTGCTGTATGCACTAAATTTTCCGGAGGCACCACCATAACATATGATCCAACTGGCGACTCAGAATCACATCGTTCAGGGTATGGATGATATGCATATTTGTCTTGTTTATAAGTCTGACACCGTGTGCTTCCTTGTTTTCTACTTTTAATAAAAATCAATTAATTTAATATTAAGACAATTTTACAAATCAAAGAAAAGTTAAAACTCACGGGTTAGCCTTTTTATTCTTTAATTCATTGTATAGTTTTTCAAAAAAACTAGTGAGTTCGTTTTTATAGTGTTTATAAAAATATGAACTGAGTTGTGATATAAAATGCTGATTGGTTTTGCCAGAGAAGGCAGATAAAGGGCAAGATTTCTCGGTACAATGCAGATTTTTTGCAATGTGTGTTGAGAATAGAGTCCTAAATAATAAAAATTTATTAGGGACTTTTGTGTTTGACTTTCTAAAAAATTTCTTTATGTATTCGTCAGCTAAAGGATCTAAGAGAAATTCATGGTTGCAATTGCGTGAATACACAAAAGATAGAAATATCATATTATTGATAATAAGAGATGTGGATACTGGCATGATGAAATTCTTTTTGTTGGATGGCTGCATTTTCGTTAAAGAATAAAGTGATAAAGAAAAGAAATAATATCTTTTTTATAGATGATTTTTCTTTTATGAACCATATAAAAGTAGCGTCTTCATAGTTACTGACAATGATCTATAAAGATTTATTATTTTAGTGCGCAATTTTGATGTTGTGTTGACAGTGTTCTATAAAAATTTATTGTCACGGGTTGATCGTGATTAGGCGTAATCTACGACTTTACCTGCAACAGTGGGTTGGGGGAGTAATTAGACTGAG